TGCCGCCGCCGAGGGGGCTTTCCCGCAGCGGGGCCGTGGGGTCCCTGCTAGAGGAAAGCGGTGCGATTTTGGCCAGCGCATCCTTCCCTGGCCAGCGCCGTGCTCCCAAGGCCGGGCCCGCGCTACCTTCCAGGGAAGCCGACCAAGGGAAACGCCGGAGAATGGAAATCCCATTCCCCGCGCAGAGGACCCACGGGCCAAGGCAAACAGTCCCTGGTGAATCATACGGTGTCTGCCACCGCGGCGAGCCGGTGGGAGCCGCCGTCGAGGAAAACGCTGAGAGAGGTGTGAAATAAATGGGCCGAGTAGCAGGGGCCATCAGCTGTCACAGCAGCGGCACAGTCATTAGTCCAGGAAAAAGCTGAGTGTGTGGTTTATATAAACACTTAAGGTACTATTATATGTGAAAAAGAAAAAATAAATTTCCTGCTTTGTTCCCAAGCAATTGTTTCCTGGAAAAAAAAAAAACAACAACAAAACAAAACAGTGAAAGCCATGCAAACGGCAGAGGTGAGCCGGACTCACTGTCACTGTCCAACAGGAAAGGGATAAATCACCAAGCCATGGCAATTGCAGTGCATCCCATACCAGATGGATTCAAGAGAGGAGATCTGTCCCCCTCAGAGTTGCTGGGATAGTGAGCAATTCTGGCTATCAACAGAGCAAATTTGTGTAAGTTTTGTAAGGCACAATTAATTGTCTGTGAGGTGGGTGTACAAAATCTAATCCCTAAAAATATGTAGATAACAAGAAAATCTCAAACTGAAAGGGGACAGATTCACGTCATCTTTAATTCTGAGCACTGGCTCCTGAACCTTTTCTTGAGAAAAGGGAAAAATTAAAAATGCAGATGAGCATTGGTAGACATTGTAGCAAACCCAGCAGAGCCAAGTGCAGAACAATTCACCCATTCTGCTTCATCCTTGTAATGTAGCATAGAATGAGGCCCCAAACACGGTCCTAATTAATGCTCTGTCATCTTAAAATACAGAATCTGTACTTTCATTTCACTGTGCTGTGGCTTGAGGCATCAGCTGAGTTGCCAGAGGAAGACAAAAGACAGGAGAAGAAAGTGTTGTGGTAAGAAGATCATGTGAGTGCCCAGAGGCATTCTAGTGGCTTCAGCTCCAACTTACACATAAGAGATCCCAACACTAGCTCTTCCCAGAGGCCATGCAGTCTGCAGCTCTTGGCAGGTTGAACACATGGAAGGTATCCCAGCTGGAGATCAAAAGAAGAGGTATGATAGCAGTGAGTCAGCACAAGGCATCTATTTTTTTTTTTATAAGAGACAGCATAGAAGATGGGGGGAATTTTATTTGACTTTAATAATCAACTTTGGTATTTATTTAATACCATACCAAAGGACTATGTATTCCCCACCTTACAGAGTCTCAGTCTCTTTGCCACTTGTCCTTTCTCAAATGACGAGCCTCTTCCTCCACTCCCACAGTGCGACTTCTTTTCGATTCAGGAGAGACATTGTTCAGTCTGTCAACATTTAGGAGGATGGACAGAGGAAGGTTAGAAGATGTATAGTAAGAAAAAACTGGAGGCTTCTATCAAACTGTGCTTTGCAGGCAATTATTAAACTTGAAGATTGCTAACTGGATACCTCAGGCTTTGAGTCCTCTCTTTCTTTTCTTGGCTTCTCTTAGTGCCTGGAAGGATTGCTCTCAGTCTGGAAGAAACTCCCAGTGATGTAGGCTGCTCTCAAGTTATCACAGGCAACCACATAATGTAAAAATCATATTTGAGAAACTACGTTTCATCTCATAAGCAGGTGTTTTAGTAAAGCAGTGAATTGATTTTCCTTCTGCTGTTAAAGGACTGTTTTCAGACCTCCCCGGTAGTTAGACACTTCTTACTAATTTCCAGTCTAAATGTATTTATGGCCATTTTATACTTGTTTCCTGGTACCAACATTGTCTCTCAACCTAAACAACTTATTTTGTTCTCCCAGGCTTGCCTCCCCAGTGCATTTAGTAACAACAATAATTTTCTCTTTCAGCTTTCACTCTTGTTTTACTCAACAAGCAAGTTCTTGCTGTGTATGTGCTGAGCTGGTTCCTTTGGGTGTGTGTGGCAGAACTGAACTCAATATGCCATCCAAGCTCTCTCCAGATCATTTCTATTTATTGAAAGTACTTCTGATGTGGTCAAGGATGTCATTATCATTTTCGGTAGTCACAGTACCGTTGATGGTCGATGGGCATCTTTGTGTTCAGTTTATATCTGCAGCTTCACCTGTTTGCCAGTGGATAAATCCTTTCTAATATATGATCTTGAGGGTCTCTTCCAACGTTGATGATTCTGTGATTTTTAATATGGTATTTCATCTCTTCTAGTTCTTCCATTTTTTCAGTTTCTAACTAGCATTCTTGATTATACTTATCATAGATAATAAAGAAGATAATTGATTTTTCTTTCTTTTAGGTTTCCTTTGGGTTGGATTCAGTAGCAGTATTAGAAGTATCCTTTCACTACCTAACCATGTTTAATTCAGCTACAAACCATACCAAGGTTACGACAGATCTCTTCGGCATCTCATACTTTTTCTTTTACTGCAGTTTTGCTTTGATGCCTTCTTCTGTGAAATAACATCTTACATTTGGATGGAGGACTCTTTTTTTCACGTTAATAGGTACATATTAAATTATTTTTAATATCTAGTAGTATTTTCAAGAAGCCTTTCATCCTTTGTCCTTTCACTACAACTTATTTTTCAAAATTTTCTTCCTCTTCAGTCTTTAAAAGCACAGTGATCTGGTGAAGAGCCAAAACACTGGCAAATACAGCCACCACCAGTGATAGTAAGCATGTTTTGGAGAGTTTCCAAGTTAAGGTTTTTTTACTTCAGGTATAACAGAAGATTCATCATATGAGACTATGATGCTGAACCTAGAGATGCTGAACACCATCAGTGGGGATTTTTTTTAGGTCACTTCCCACCTAAATTTTTCCATAATACTGTCATTCAGTGCATTACTCACAAAACTGATAGTAGAACACACGTCTGCTGGGGGAAACAGATTTTGTCAAAATATTCTTTTTTCTTTTTTTTAAATGGGCTATGAAGTAGATCAATATGGCGTCAAGTGTAAACATTATACACTTGGACATTTCTCAGGCACTGATATAACACAATATTTTGACTAGGGAACTATAATGGTATAGTAACAGCATTGCACATATGAAATAGATTGTGAAACACATGATACATCTCAGCTGTATGTAAGCAAAGAATACTCAGTGAGTGTGTTTCAAGAGAAATTCTGCAAGGATAAGTTTTTTTTACTCCATAGTGCTCTAAATTCTTCATCCACTACATTAAAGAAAGCATATTCTTTTTGGCTACACCTTAAAGCTGTGAATAATTCAAGCAGAATGTTTAGAAAAGCTTGGACTGGGATAGCAAAGAGCTAAGACCCATTAGAGAACTGGAAAATATGCCATCAAGTGAAAAACTCAAGAAATGCCTTTAATAACTCAGATTAAGGAGGTGACTTAAGGGCACCATAAGTATATATATGAGGCACAAAACCTCAGTAAAAGATGTCTTCAATGCAGCCGACAGAAGTGTAACAGCACTTAATGATAGAAAGCTGCAGACAGAAAAATCAGATGAGAAACAGGCTAGTTTTTCTACATCTCCATCCTTTATATTTGATAACATTTCGTGAGGGATTTTTTTTCTCCTTGGCAATTTTTTTGAGTAATAAAAGACTGTTGTAAGGCAATCCATAAATTAATTCAGAAATTAATCAATGTGGGGTTATTCTTTATCTTTTGTTATGTAGAAGGCCCAAAAAAGAACTTGTGCCTAATTCCAAAACCGATGCCTAGACAGCATGTTCAACAGTTGCCCAATCTTCAGCTTGCTCAGTTTCACTGCCCTCTTGGTGCCTACACTTCTGCACTGCGGAACAAGTTTTCTCCAATATGTGGAGCTTGGCATTCACTTCCTGCCTGGGCCTCAGAGGGATCTGATACGGAGAAAGGCACCACCAGTTTGGACAGGGCTGAGCAGGCTGGTGCCCACCTCATGCCCAAGCCCCCTGCAGCCGTTCAGCCTCCTGAGTTCCTCTGTGTGTTCTTACAACACACCCAACACAAACCGGCAGAAATCTGCTCC